TTAAAATATGTTTAAATATTTACATCAAATTTAAGAGAATATTTTACTCTTAGTTAGTTAGTTTGAATAGAAGATGTACATATATACATCAAATCCGAAGAAATACACCTAGGCCTCTATCGGGCCTGTTGTGCGCTCCTTACCCAGTGCCTCAGGTGGGAATCGAACCCACCACCTCCGGTCTACCGGACTAGAACACTAACCACTAACCTACCGGAGGCCACTCTTAAAAGCATAAATTTTTTCTAAAATAAATCTCTAGATTTTGTAACTTTTAACAATGTCAATTTATTAATATTTCTATTATATTAGCAGAAATAAGAAACAATTAATTAGAAATCAATGCAATTCTGGTGGGATTCTTATAAATTTAATAAATTTTTATTTATAAATAATAATTTGAATAAATTCACACATCTTAATAGATTTCACATTTCTTTGGTGGATTCATGTTGCATGTTGTCTTCTTGTCACACTTAAATAACCACGAAAATTCTCTAGAGTTTGATAATGAACCAATGACTCTTAACATTCCGGGAGCATGTATATCGCCATTGGCAAATGCACTGCGAAATACCGAAAGTATATCCTCACACCACAGTTGAGCAAAACTAATGAAAAACAATTGACGATTATTGAAGGGTAAACGTGGCAGAGTGTCATTCTTTTCAACATCGCTTTCGCCCATTTCTTTACGCTTAGACAACCAACGCTCATAGGCATTATAAGCTATATTAACGCCACCATTATCGGCAATATTTTCTGATTGCAAACCACTTCTGGGTAAACGTTTGCCATCGTAAGTATAGTTGTGATATTGTTCTATGAAACATTTACGTCTCGATTCAAATTCATAGGCAGATTTCTCATCCCACCAGTTGAAGGCCTTGCCATTGGCATCATAGTTACGACCCTCATCATCAAAACCATGAATCATTTCATGAGCTATGAGATAACCCAAAGTGCCATACTGTATGGCTTTGGGATAGATGGGATCCCAAATAAAGCGTGGCTGCAGCAGAGCTACTGGAATTTTGATTTGATTTTCCAAAATATTATAAACAGGTGTGAAGGACAATACCTGAGTATCTTCTTCAGTTTTCTTCTCCAATTTGTTTTCTCTTAAAGACTCGGCATGTTCTAGAATATTTTTAACATTGAGCACATAGTTGGCGGGATCTATGACCAGATTTTTAAATAGCTCAACAAAATTGTCATTATCATAAGAGTTTATGGTTAAATTCATATTATTCAATTTCTTAACAGCTTCTTGGCGTGTCTTAGGCGCTATCCAATAATATTTTTCAGTCTCAAAATTATGTTTAAGTGTACTTTTAATATCATCCCATAGTTCGTATATTTCAGCCTCGACCTCCTTGCTTCTATATTGATTATAGATGGCATGATCAACAAATTTACCAAAATATTTTTTCGATTTATCTATGCACTCGGACAGCATATTGCCGTATGTGAAATCGACAATAAATTCATCCAAAAATAACCATAGTATATAGTCCTCTACTAGTTCATCTTCGGTGGTATTGAAAACATCATATAAACCCTCCAGATAAGATTCATCATAGACATAGATCTGTTTTGGCAAATCTTTTGTGCCCAACACAATTTCTAAATATTGTTTTACATCAAATAAATCATTATATTTGTCCATTAAATCGGTGGTATTATACAAGGTCAACAATTCTTCCACACTTTTACCCTTACGCACATCAGTAGCGCCCCAAGTTAAATTGTGTTCGAATGTCATTACATTTTTGGCGCTTACTGCAGCATCTTCGGCAGTCATATTCAAATACAGTTTCATATATTTACGTATTCTGTCTTCTTGTATGTTGTGCACCATATTTACCGCCCCCTGGGTCATTTCAAATTCTGGGGGTCCTATGTAGGGCATTGTTTTGGACTTATCTTTTAAATCATCTAATATATACAGCGACAGTATTATGGATCTTCCATATTTATTTTGAATTTTTGCCACCGTGGACCACCATTCTGAACTGGTATTCTTTAACTGGTCCTCTGTTTTTAAAGCTGAAAATTCACCATATTCTTTGTAGATTTTAGTCAACGATGAACGATATTTTGTAGTATCAAGATAGGCATTCTGACAAGAGGCAAAAAAGTCTTTGATTTTATCTTCCACATCATCATTTCCGGTTTTTTCCTTTAGCAACAATTCCTTCAGTCTTACCTCAATGCCTTTGGTTAAAGATTGGAATTTGTCCGTGTTTATATTGCGATTATATTGGGCCGGATTAATTGTATGCCAAGAACCACAGGCATATGTATAAAAATCATCGCAGGGATCAACATTTTGATTCATGAACGCTTTGATATCAGCGGTTTTTGATAATTTTAAAATTTGTTTGGCCTGTGGACTGGCAAATACGTCTTCCTCACTTTTCACGCTTAAACAGCAACATATTAAGATGAAGCCACTATACACATAGTGATTTATTAATTTTAAATTCATTTCATGAGTTATTTATTTAATTGTTAATTGTTTTTAAAACTTTTTTTCTTCCAAAATCACAACCGTTTTGAGAGTGTTATTAGTTCAGACTAAAGTAATTTACTATTTCCATAATTTCCATTTCTCAAGATGAGTCCGAGTCAGTCTTATCGTTTATAAATTGAGTTGTTTGTTATTTTCTTTATTTTGTATTTATAAGAAAACTTGGTCTCTTATCAGCTAATATACGCTCAAACATGTAGTTTAATTATGTTTTTTACTAAAAATAATTAATATTTATTAACCCTCTGATGAATAAAACGTGTAGATTTATTTTCTTATTTGCGAGACTTATGAGCGAGACTGAGAGTAATATTGACAATATTTTTTACGATTAAGCAATGACTGAACAGTCTGTTTGCTTTCACAAATTAATAAGAAGTCACTTTTATTAGCGCTTATAAGATTATTTAATGATCAATCAAAGTAAAAATGCTGATTTAGATAGAATTATAAATTAGTTCAGCTATAGTTCAGTCCTAGTTCAGTTCTAGTTCAGTTCTAGTTCAGTTCTAGTTCAGTTCTAGTTCAGTTCTAGTTCAGTTCTAGTTCAGTTCTAGTTCAGTTCTAGTTCAGTTCTAGTTCAGTTCTAGTTCAGTTCTAGTTCAGTTCTAGTTCAGTTCTAGTTCAGTTCTAGTTCAGTTCTAGTTCAGTTCTAGTTCAGTTCTAGTTCAGTTCAGTTCTAGTTCTAGTTCAGTTCTAGTTCAGTTCTAGTTCTAGTTCAGTTCTAGTTCAGTTCTAGTTCAGTTCTAGTTCTAGTTCAGTTCTAGTTCAGTTCTAGTTCAGTTCTAGTTCAGTTCTAGTTCAGTTCTAGTTCAGTTCTAGTTCAGTTCTAGTTCAGTTCTAGTTCAGTTCTAGTTCAGTTCTAGTTCAGTTCTAGTTCAGTTCTAGATCAGTTCTAGTTCAGTTAGTTCAGTTCTAGTTCAGTTCTAGTTCAGTTCTAGTTCAGTTCTAGTTCAGTTCTAGTTCAGTTCTAGTTCAGTTCTAGTTCAGTTCTAGTTCAGTTCTAGTTCAGTTCTAGTTCAGTTCTAGTTCAGTTCTAGTTCAGTTCTAGTTCAGTTCTAGTTCAGTTCTAGTTCAGTTCTAGTTCAGTTCTAGTTCAGTTCTAGTTCAGTTCTAGTTCAGTTCTAGTTCAGTTCTAGTTCAGTTCTAGTTCAGTTCTAGTTCAGTTCTAGTTCAGTTCTAGTTCAGTTCTAGTTCAGTTCTAGTTCAGTTCTAGTTCAGTTCTAGTTCAGTTCTAGTTCAGTTCTAGTTCAGTTCTAGTTCAGTTCTAGTTCAGTTCTAGTTCAGTTCTATTTCAGTTCTATTTCAGTTCTAGTTCAGTTCTAGGTCACTTCTTGTTCAGTTCAAATTTAGTTATAACATTATTACATTTTGTGCAAAAATATTTATTTACCATTTTATCAAATGTTAACTATAACTATATTAAAGTTCTATTTCAAAAAAAAAAAAAACGTTCTTAGTAAATTTAATAAAAAAGGAAGTAACTTAAGGAAACTGATAAATAAAAATAACATTTTGCATTTAAAGAGAAAAAGAAGGCCACATTCTAAAATTAGAAGTACTAATGGTTTATTGCAGTCATAAGAAGGCAAACCAGAGATAAGAAAAAAATTTATGTTTTACATTTGACCTAAACTGTTTAAGTATTTATGTTAGTAAAATTTAAACTTTTATTAATTATGTAAAAATTAAAGTTTTATTGTTTTTGTTTATTATGTATTTAATATTATGAGATTTAACATTAAATACTAATGTACTTAGTATGTTTTTTTAGAGGCTTATTTCTTCTTTTTAATACAACATTTTTGTTACCAATATTATGCAAACATTTATTTAGCTTCTGGCATTTTTATTTTTATATGACCCCCACATACACACATATAAGAAATAAAAAAATGGTATGGAAACAACACTCACTGTCATTTTATAAGACACTTACAATGTCAATAGAAAGAAAGTATTTAAATGGAAAATTTAGGCAATTTACACTTCCTTTATGTTGCAAAAAACAAAAATGAATAAAAAACTGTCTAACAAAAATACCACTAAAGGGGATTAAACAATGCAAATAGAAAGGGAATGATTTAGAGACACAGTAAACAAAATATGAAAATAACCTTAACCTTTTGATAAATATTTACAAAGGTCTACTTGGAATATATATTTTTTTTTAACAAAACTGTAAACAACATAAAAGACAAACGTACAAATTGAAAAGCCAGCAAACATTTAAATTCATGAATTTATTTTTTGTTTTACGAGCTTGACGATGTGACTGCCAGGGCGTATGTTGAATATTAAAATATTAAATATTAATCATTGTTTCTTTTTGGTGACTCAAGGTATATTTGACTTGTTAACAAAACCTTTTTTACATTTTTTTTCTGTTAATAATCACAAGCATAAGATTTTTGGTGTATTATTATTATTATTATGTTTTCGCTCACTCTATTTTTTCTCTTTGCAGCTATACCTATAGTATATATATTGGCCATTGTACCTGGTCTGATGCCCTGGGATAGTGGTTACCGTTTTCTTTCATTTTGCCACGTTTTTGGTTCGGTGGCACCCTGGTGTGGCAGCTTTGTTTATCATCTTTTTATGAATATTGAACGTGGCGAAAATGTCTACTATAGATTGTTGAAATTGGACATGGTGGGAATATGGGTTAGTCAGAGTTTTGGTAAGTTTTAATGAAAATTAATAAAATTTTTATTTAATATTTTATGAAAAGTTTAATACTTATTTGTTTATGTCTATAATATATGTTTCAATTTTTAAATTTATAATTAATTTAATATTAACTAGAATAGACTATAGGCCAGACTATAGACTAAAATAGACTATAGATTAGATTATAGACTAGACTATAGATTAGACTGTATACTAGACTATAGATTAGACGATAGACTAATCTATAGACAAGACTAGACTATAGACTAGACAATAGACTAGACTATAGAATAGAATATAAACTAGACTACAGACAATACTATTGAGTAGACTATAGACTAGACTATACTCTAGACTAGACTATAGACAAGACTATAGACTAGACTATAGACTAGACTATAGACAAGACTATAGACTAGACTATAGACTAGACTATAGAGTAGACTATAGAGTAGACTATAGACTAGACTATAGACTAGACTATAGACAAGACTATAGACTAGACTATAGACTAGACTATAGACAAGACTATAGACTAGACTATAGACTAAACTATAGACTACACTATAGACTACACTATAGACTAGACTATAGACTAGACTATAGACTAGACTATAGACTAGACTATAGACTAGACTATAGACTAGACTATAGACAAGACTATAGACTAGACTATAGACTAGACTATAGACAAGACTATAGACTAGACTATAGACTTTAATATAGACTACACTATAGACTACACTATAGACTAGACTATAGACTACACTATAGACTAGACTATAGACTACACTATAGACTAGACTATAGACTACACTATAGACTAGACTATAGACTAGACTATAGACTACACTATAGACTAGACTATACACTAGACTATAGGCTAGACTATAGACTGGACTATAGACTAGACTATAGACTACACTATAGACTACACTACAGACTACACTATAGACTACACTATAGACTACACTATAGACTACACTATAGACTAGACTATAGACTAGACTATAGACTAGACTATAGACTACACTATAGACTAGACTAGACTACAGACTAGACTATAGACTAGACTATAGACTAGACTATAGACTAGACTATAGACTAGACTATAGACTAGACTATAGACTAGACTATAGACTAGACTGTAGACTAGACTTTAGACTAGACTTTAGACTAGACTATAGACTAAACTATAGACTAGACTATAGACTAAACTATAGACTAAATATTATGTATATGTTAAAAGTTTATTAGTTAGAAAAAGTACCGAATAATTCGTGGGCGTACCGATGCATTTTTCGATATCAAATCGTGCTGAAAAAGTACTAAATTTCTTATGTCTGATTAAATAGCAAAAACCTACAATATTTCAAAACCTTTTGAAAATATCAACATTTCTAAATCATCTTTTTTGACCTTTGACCTCTAATATTTAAAATATTTAGCAGACAACTGACATTTATGACCCCATTAAAAGCTACTCAATAATATTTCATTTGAAATGTTTAAGTTTTTTAAATTTCTTTCGACTTTTAATTATGTAACTCATCAAAGAAAATTTTATTATTCCCCAAAAAGTTTTCATCATATTTTATTTTATGTACTTTTTTTATACACATAAGTTTTAAATAAATGTATTACATACTTTTCAAAAACTTTTTTGCAACATTAAAATATATTTAATAATTTATATGTAAGAGTTTTCAGCAGAAAAAAAATAGATAAATCAATCTTCTTTACTTTTTTTTTGTTTTGCTACAGTTGCTGTTAAACTTTAATCCTCAAACCAAATTTATCTTTTCAACTTGAAATACTGCAACATGAAACACATGTGTCCACACAATTTACTGCTGTCATTTAAATAGATTATGGTCAATTGATACTCTTCTTAGCTTTTTTTTTCTATAAATATTAAATAGGAAATAATTCAATAAAAAACTATTTTAAATAAAACTGGAAAAAGAAAACTTCAAAGTAAAATAGAAAACCAACTGGGTTGGTGGATTTAAATATTCATCAAATGGCCAGTATTTTGTTTTAAAAACCACAAAGTATTTCAATGTCATTTAAACAGAATGATAAGAACTAAAAAAATGTTTTTTTTTTTGTCAATTCTTGTTTGAGTGAGGTTAATCAAAGTATGTACTATATTCTTAGATTTAAACCTCTATTACAGTTATTTGAATATTTTATGGATTGTTAACAACATTTCATTTAGAAGAATCAGCGGGTCACTATTTGTGATACTTGTGAAAATAAGATGAACATTGAAAATTTATTGTCTTTATTGTGATGTTAGTACTTTGTCACCAGTAACGAGACATTTTCATGATAAGCTAGTGACTGGGCAACACTTATATTAAGCAAACTTATTTATTTGCCACCCATTGGTAGACAACATAAGTATTGTGTAATGAGAATAACACAGGTTGAGATGAAATTAAAGGATTTTATTGAATAAACAGACGAGTCTATAAGAGGGATATCCTATCAACTAATTTATAGAATTTTAGTCGAATGTCTATTGACTTGTCTTTTGACTAGGCTAGGGACAAATCTATTGTAAAGTCTATGAAGTAGCTTATTGAGCAGTCCATAGAATACCTTATTGACTACGATGAACTAGTACAATAACTATAGGTTTATCTTTTGATTAGTCTATGAACTGTCTATGTCCACAGACTTGTCTATTGATTTGTGAATGGACTACCTTATTAACTAGTCTATGAACTAATCTATTGAAAAGTCTACGGTCTAGTATATTGAGAAGTCTATTGGCTAGTCTATGGACTAGTATTTTAATTAGTTTATTGTCTTGTATTTCGATTAGTCTATAGACTAGTGTACTGACTCGCCTATAAATAATTGACTAACCCATTGACTAGCCTATTGACGGATAAATATATTTATAAGTCTATTGATAAGTCTGCGGTTAAGTCTATTGACTTACCTATTTAATAGCCTGTAGACTAGCCTATAGACCCTATGTGCATGAATTATTTTCAGTGTAAGTTACTTGATATACTATAATATAATAAGTCTATGAACTCTCTCGCCACCTACGTATCTTGTTATCATTATAACCTTAGTGCAGTAGATATACTCGACTACAAAAGTATCATAATATACCTGGTAAACACAACAACACCACTTTAGATGGATGGATGGATGTCATTTTATTAAAATGACAGACATAAATCGATAAATGCCAGGATTATATAAATTAATGAATACCTTAAATATATATATTTTTTAATATTCAAATAGCAAAAAAAGAAGAAATTGTAATGCAAAACAACAGTACTAAGTAGTATTTTAGTGGCCTCTAGTTGTAAATATATATTTTACTCCCACTTTGCTTTAACGTTTCAATGTTTAATCTCTGGTATAATTTGTTATTTCGATGATGGTGATGATGATGATGTTTGACATAAACGTGCAATTTTGTAAAAAAAAAGAAATTAAAAATTAATTAGATACAATTTTATTTACATAAATACAACAAGATGTAATGAAAGTAACTGTAAAAATAGCAAGAAATTTTTACTAAAGTAATTGTAAAGGTAGAAATGTAACTTGTTAATAATGTAAAACATAATAAATATTAAAAATGTTAATTATTTCGTTGCTACTTTATTTTATTTTTTGAGTAATTAAACGAATTTTTTTGATTTATAAATTTCTAAGGTAATAAAGTTTTCTCTAAATATTAAATTCGCTATGACATTTTTTATGTATATATTTACAACATGTAATTAATGTACACATTTACAAGTAACAAGGTATAAGGTTTCTTATTTTATTTGCAATGGTGTCCATTTCATAGCACAATTGTGCTAGCAAAAAACTAGGGATTTAATGAAAATTTAAAAAATAATGAGAACTTAATTTTTAACAACATTTACCCCCTTTTTTTAATTTATTATTATTATTATATTAAACTGATCAGAGATTTTCATTATTTTTGCCCAAGGGCCTCTATTGTAGCCAGAAACTAAACTTTTATGTTTTCAATCAAAAATCGATTTTTAATGGGAAATAAAAGTGATCACAGATTTTAAGCCTTTTTGCCCTGGGGCCTCTAGTTTAGCCAGAAAATGAACTTTTTTGCTTCCACTCAAAAATTGATTTTTTGTGGGAAATTAAAGTGATCACAGATTTTAAGCCTTATTGCCTGGGGCCTCTAGTTTAGCCAGAAAATGGACTTTTATGTTACCACTCAAAAATTGATTTGTTGTGGGAAATAAAAGTGATCACAGATTTTAAGCCTTTTTGCTCTGCGGCAGCTAGTTTAGCCAGAAAATGGACTTTTATGTTTTCAATCAAAATTTGATTTTTAATGGGAAATAAAAGTGATCACAGATTTTAAGCCTTTTTGCCCTGCGGCATCTAGTTTAGCCAGAAAATGGACTTTTATGTTTTCAATCAAAAACCGATTTTTTGGAGGAAATAAAAGTGATCACAGATTTTAAGCCTTTTTGCCCTGGGGCCTATAGTTTAGCCAGAAAATGGACTTTTATGTTTTCACTCAAAAATTGATTTTTAATGGGAAATAAAAGTGATCACAGATTTTAAGCCTTTTTACCCTGCGGCATCTAGTTTAGCCAGAAAATGGAATTTTATGTTTTCAATCAAAAATTGATTTTTAATGGGAAATTAAAGTGATCACAGATTTTAAGACTTTTTGCCCTGGGGCCTATAGTTTAGCCAGAAAAGGAACTTTCTTGTTTTCACCCAAAAATTGATTTTTTGTAGGAAATAAAAGTGATCACAGATTTTAAGCCTTTTTGCCCTGGGGCCTCTAGTTTAGCCAGAAAATGAACTTTTATGTTTTCAATCAAAAATCGATTTTTAATGGGAAATAAAAGTGATCACAGATTTTAAGCCTTTTTGCCCTGGGGCCTATAGTTTAGCCAGAAAATGGACTTTTATGTTTTCACTCAAAAATTGATTTTTAATAGGAAATAAAAGTGATCACAGATTTTAAGACTTTTTGCCCTGCGGCAT